TCACAGGCACTCCAAACGTGACACGTCACAGTAGCCGCATAGACACAGTTTGACCTACAAAGATAGATACGCACACAGCAGCTCCTGGAAACATGATAGAACAAGTGGTCAGACAGGAAGACAAAGACCTCACAGCTCACCAAGGAAGCTCAAACCCACTGCAGGCTCCACACAGGTGATGTCACAGGGGCAGAGGCCTCACACCACGCATCCTGGGAAGTCACGAGACAGCCGCCCGTTTTGTCCGCCGCCATCTCTGCGGCTCGTCACCTTGTCTTCGGTGTCTGAAGCCTTGGCAAGGTGGCTCCTCTGCACACAGACACAGAGAAAACACAGGAAGACACTTGCCGCTGTTGACAGCTGAGCGGCCTCACGGCAGTGAGGGCAGCAGACCCTCCCTGCCAGGACCTCACAGGCAGATTTGTATTTTTTAACCCCCCACCCATAGCTGCAAGCATATCCCTCTCCAGGCTCTCCCCTTGCAAGCAAGGGAAGCAATGTAGAGGTGCAACCACAGGTCTCCTGCAAGTTCCAGGAAAAGCAGGGCAAGGCTGCAGCAACTGGGAAGACAAGACAAACAGAAACGCGTACAAGACACAAGACAAGACATCCCGAGCACCAGTGGGAGAGGCCGTGGCAAGACAACCAGCTAGCCAGACACATGCACCAGGTTCTGGCCCAGCAAAGCCTAGACAGGGTCAGGCAAACGGTTAGGGAACAGGTCCACAAGCGCACTGGGGTCACAGTTAGGGTTAGGAAAAGGTTCGGGTTAGGGAACGGGTTCAGAGGTGAATCTGGATCTGGGTTAGGGTTCGGGAACAGGTCCACAAGTGCACAGGGGTCCGGGTAAGGTTTAGGCAGGGGGTTAGGGAATGGGTCCGCAACTGCATGGGGGTCCGGGTTACGGTGAGGCAGGGGATTGTGATTAGGCAAGGGGTCCACCAGTGCCCAGGGGTCCAAGTTAGGGCGAGGCAGGGGGGTAGGGTTAGGGAACAGGTCCACAAGCGCACA